GGGGGGGGGGCGGTCCAGGAGCCGAGGTCGTCATTTTGCCGATCATCTAATGTTGGCAGGTGGTTCCTTGTTCCATGCTCGCCCCCCCGGGCGTCGTCCATCTAGCCAGAGAGACTATTTCCGTTTAGAACGCGAGAACAATAACTCAGCAAATCGGAAACAGCGCAGGTGAGTGGAGTCGAGGGATACTGAACTTGTTCCGAAACAACTCTTGTAGTTCAAGATCATTATTATACCAGTGTCCCAGGAAAGGCGGCAAAAGCGTAATTCAAATGCCACGCCACGATGAGGATCATCTGTGGATACAGTAGGTCGGTCATTTGCCGTTACGAACCTGCCAAGCTCAGCCTCTGTTCTCGTGGAGCCTGGTAGTTAGGCATCATCGTGGATGCAGTGTATGCGTGTACTGCAGGGGTGCCTACCCTTGAGTCTTGCAGGCACCGTACTCCAGTCATTTGCCGAATCAGTCTGAGAAAAACGAATAAAATTTCTGGACGCAATATTCGTATTCGTTGCTAAAATAATGTCTTACCATATCGGTTAAAATTTAAAACTAATTTTGATTAGGCTTTTGTGTGATTGAACAAAATGTGCTTCAAATCGGTGCACATATTGTTTAAAGCGTTCTATGAGAATGCAAAAGCCAGCATTGTAAGCGGGAAAGGATGTGAACTTAAAACTTGAATTTGAAAGATTGTTCGGCAACGAGGATAAAGGCGACAAAAACTAATAAAATAATTGATACTTTTTGGGGTAAGAAACATTCAGAGTTTAAAAGGACCACCCATAGATTTAGATATAGCACCCACATTTTCTAAAAATGTTAGATTAATGAGAATTTTTTTTTTTTAAGTAAGAAAAATGTTGTTTTATATCTTTAAGGAATAGCCCATGACTGGGCTCAAGACATGTGAGGCACTATTCTGGCAAGAATTCGTGAAAATCAAGAGTAGTTTCATTGTTGTCATACTTACGCTTTTCGTCAAAAAACAAAAGGTCATAACAGTGCACTTGTGACGATAAACTTATGTCTAAGAATTTAATAAGCACTATTTGTGACGTTGTTTCGTTACTAGGATATTTTTCAGACTATCACAAACACGATTTCGCCTTAAACAGAATAAAATGACACATAATAGATTCTTTCCGCACAACTATTTACCTTTCTTTTCGCACCCTTCTCGCCCCTGTCAAATGCACTGAACCGCATGAGGGGGAATGGAAATGGGCGCCATGACATTGCATATGGACACGTATGTGACGGCGACACCATGGCGGCCACCGACCACCGTGGTCATGGTGAGGCCTCAAAAAAGACTAACGCTCTCAGATTTGGCATACAAGCCGATTAAAAAAAAGCTTAAAGAGACTAGATTATTTTCGAAGATTTTTTATCGCGTTGGTGTGTGAGTCTTGCCGCCAAAATAAAGTTTCGCGAGTGACGTGTTTACCGTGCACCCATCGAGTGATTGGCGCGATAGGTCGCCATATTCGCCGGGTTCAGTCCTCCACTTGCCGGCGGCCGAGCCACTTCGGCGCCATTTTGGATTTGTTCCTCCCAGTGTGCCACCTGCGCGAGCTCCAATTTTGGGATTAAATGGGATTACAGTGCCTTTAAAAGGGAAGAAAGAGATTTGTACGTGAGTATATATGTGAACAAGCAAGGGAAGTCCCTTTAAAAGTTGTTTCGCAACAAAGTTTTTGAAGTTCTTCTCAGCTTCGACGTTTGAGGTGACAACTTAAATTTCGTTTTAAGTTAAAATTCGCACAAGATAATGTAAATAAATTAATCGTGGCTAGGTCAATCTTTATTCGACAAAACTAAACAAAGTTGTGTAAATTTCTAGGGAAAGAAAACCAGACGAAAAGAATGCGGATAATTTTAGGAAAGTTCAAACAAAATAATACTAAGTGTTCCATTTTCATCAATGCGTTGGATACAAGGCAAAGGTTTTGGTGGTTGTTGGGGAGGGCACGTCCCTCGCTGGACACACGCGGCACGGCCACGCGGCCACGGCCTGGCTCCGTACCTCGCGACGAGCCCGCCGACCGGTGCCAAGCCTCCAGCCACGCCCTGCCACGCCCCGCCACGCCCCGCCCCACCCGTGCACACACCCACGGTGGACACACCTCCTCCCCGGTTATGTTATCGCCTGGTTTACATATAGAGGTGAGGCGGCGGGCGCGAAGCCTCAAGGGCGTTCGAGTCGCGTTAGGAATACGTACGGTGGTTAATGCGGGGTGAACGTGAACGAGACGAACTGCTTTTATTAATTTACGATGTCGCATTTTCTTCCCCAGTCGTTAGTGCGACGACATTAAAATCACGTTCTGGAGGTATGGCGTATCGCACGTATTTAGATGCCTCGATGTGTTTGGAATTCATTTTCATTGAACCTTTGGGCGGGGAGCTCGTGTGTGGTGTTCTCTACCGAGCGAGAACTGCCTCGGGGAGTTCGAGGCGAGCCCCTCCCTAAGCCCCATCCATATCCATTCCCCCCGGTCGTAATCCGCATCCCTCCCCCCTTCTCTCTGGAAGCCGCGGCAGAGTAGTCTTGCGCTCCCCCGACAATGATGGCAATAATAATAGCTGTAAAATAGAAAAGAACGTGCACGAAGCGGTGGTGGAAGCGCCTGTCGAGTAGGCACACCCGCCGCACCGCCCAGCCGTGCGCGTCGGCCTACCCTACCCCTGTCCCCACTAGCTCGTGCTGCGGCCGGGGTTGGAGTCTCGGCGCGACCCTAGATCGTGTAGCCTTCGCGCGATCTTCAAAATGAATAAACGTTCGTCTTCATATCCCCTTCCTGTCGGATATAATATAAACAGTAGTTTCTTCGAATTGCGCCCACATGTCTCAACGTGTCAGTATTTTCCGGTTTTTCTTTCCGGCCGGTCCTAAGTTGGCACCTTTTCCTGGCTTAATAAACGTGCCACTGTAAACTACGGGTTGGCGTCTTATGACACCAGCATATTGGCGTTCTCCGAAGAACGCGTTCAAAGACGCCAAGATTTTGCGTTCTGAGAAGAATAACGCCAAGATTTGGCGTTCGAAGACCCCAATATTTGGGGTTCTGTGAAGAAGAACGCGAACCAGTTTGCAGTGTGCAGAATCGGTCATGTGGGAGGAGTGTGAACCCACCCGCCCGGCCCCGGCCCGGCTCGGTGCCGGTCTGGCGGCGATCTTCAACGACTCGCATAATTGCAATCGGATCGGTGTTGCTAGGTGCTACGATGCGTACGTTGCAATCGGATCAGTGTTGCTAGGTGCCCCCATGGTGCTTTTAAATTATGTGACAGATGTCGAGGAAACGAGCCTGTGCGACAATTTCTTTATTTAGAAATTATGATATATTGGAGAAAATAAAGTCAACTGCTTTCACGATCGATGCTTGATTGAGCTTTTTAGATTAGTACGTGTTATACTTGGATCGGATGTATACGCAAGTGACAAAAATATCACATTCATTACTTTACACACAATACCGGAAAATACAAAATTATGAGAATTCCTAACGTACGGTTTACTTTGAAGGGAACTGACGTTACACATCGCATATTGTAAGCGCATAGAAACAGCAGCTCGGCCCGACGCATCGTCTGTCGGTCCGGCGCCGGGTCGGGATCGGGCTCATCAATGCAAATGGACCGGGTGAGCGAGCGGGGCGAGCCGAGCCGAGCCGAGCCCCGCCTCCTGTCGCAGTTACGCTCAACTGGACACACCTCCCGCGAGCGGGAAAAGAAGAAAAATGATGAAATTAAGATGCAGAAATCGAGACGATAGGAAAATTATAAATGCGTCGGGCGACTTGTAATTCGCACTACTCACGTCGTCGCGCTCTCATCGTCGGCTTTGTGTGGGACCGGGAAGACAGGCCATTGCAGAGCCTGGCCAGCCTAGCAGAGCGGAAGGGGTCTGCCCCGGCCCCTGCGGGGATCGAACCCACGCGACAGCTGGGCTGGGGCTGGGCCTGGCCTCTGGGGCCGCTGCGCGCAGTGCAAGGTCACTGCACTGGTAAAACAAAGGCGCTACACAACGCCTTTCCTGGGGCGCTAAAATCAAAGCCTCATTTTCACGCCTTTCCTGGGGTGCTAAACCTTAGCGCCTCAGGAAAGGCGCTAAATTATTGGTGGAGTTCAGAGGTTAGCGCCTTTGATAAT